GTACAACTCACGAAAATGTGATTACAGTTAACATTATTGTGTACACCGTAATAGTGTATATATTAACAAATAGATAAAACGAAATCTAGATTTCTTTATAACACTTAAGCTGTAATAGATTTGCATCTGAAAAGTGTATACATATAGTAAATTTGTATGAATTCACATACACTGTTGGTGCATCCATCCATTCGTACAGACATGGCAGGGCTAAGTGGTTAGGGTGCCCGACTCGTACTCTGCGGGTCGCGGGCTCGAATCCCCGTCCTGCCAAATATGCTCGCCCTTGCAACAGGAGGGGGGGGGGGGTAATGTGACGGTAAATCCCACTATTCGTTGGTAAAAGAGTAGCCCAAGAGTTGGCGATGGGTGATGATGACTAGTTGCCTTCCCTCTAGTATTTCACTACTAAATTAGGGACGGATAGCCCTCGTGTAGCTGTGCGCGAAATTCAAAACAAACCAAACATTTACAAGATTGGCTGACTAGTTCTTAGGCAGTTACAACTTATAAATGTTATTTCAAGGTCAATTCTGAAAACAAATAAAAATCGCTAATATATATTTTAAGTGATTAGATACTTGTGCTCGTTGTGCATTGATGTAAAATATAATTTAATGCCAATTGGCGTTTGAGTCGTCTGACCAATGTTGTTTTTTTCCGTATGAGAAACATTCGCTGAGGCAAAATGAGTAGTTTAACAAAAAATAATGTAATAGTCTATAAAGAACTCTATTTTATCTTTATGAAATAACAAATTCGCGCATGGTTTTAAGAACCATGCTATTCTCGCGGGTCTTTGCATTCAAATTAAGCGCTATCGATGGGCTTAGTGGGAGCTATAAATTAACAAATGATGTATTTCTATATAACAGGCCAGACTTGGCCTAATGGTTAGCGTGTCGGGCTGCGGGTCGAAACGTCTACGGTTCGCGGTGCAGTATCGCTGAGCACGCTCCGTATTTTCAGTTGTGGCTGCATTATAAGAGTAACAGTCAATCCAACTATTCGTCTGCATGACAGACAAATCCCTTGGTATGTCGGATGATTTCTTGATTTCCTTCTGGTCAGTTGTTCAAAGTTAGGGACAACTACGCCTGTATTCTAAGGTAACTGACTTGGATACTTAGTCTATCTCTATATGATGTGCCGCTCAAGTTGAAAATACCTTATACTTGTTTCTACCGTGTTACAGAGGCGTCGCTAGGCACTGGCACATGGGGCCCGTACTCCAATTATATCTTACAGTGCCTCTAATCCCCTGTTGGTGATTTGAAAAATCAGAATAGAAAACTGTGATCCATATCATACTGAAACGCCGAAAATTCCCGCGCCTATGGACCCGAGCCCCGAATCTTTTAAGTACCTAGCGACGCCTCTGCTGTGTTTCCTCAAAAATATTAAGTACTGATTAAACGTTAACGGTTAAGCTCGTAATTCAGGACATTTGAGCATTATTTACTAAAGTGGTAGACAGGAATTAATTATTTTTAAAATCATCGCAAAAATGGTTTTAATTATTTTTACGTGAAATATTTTTCTTGAAATTCGCACGTCTGTTTGGTTAGTAACTTATCGAGTTAGTAATTATAAGTATACACACCTGTACAAATGTATACAAAATTATCGTTAGAATTTCGCAGTAAATCTTTACTAAGATTTTGTTTTAGGCTATTTTTATTATTTTGGTTGCCTCCAAGTGGCACAGCGGTGTGTCTGCGGACTTACAACGCTAGAAACCGGGTTTCGATACCCGTTGTGGGCAGAGCACAGATAGCCCATTGTTTAGCTTTGTGCATAACTACAAACAGACAATTATTTTAGTCGTTTCTTCTAACTTTGTATAGAGGGAGTTTTAACATCACGTTTATAGCTCAATTATGAATTTTTTCTTTTTTTAACTGAGGAAACTACTTAAGTGATATAAAACTCATATTAGACGAGATTTATAAATAATTTTGATTGATGAGTTAACCTGTTGCAGTGGTATATTGATTATTTAAATAAATTTGATTGATGAGTTAACTTGTTGCAGAGGTATATTGATTATTTAAATAATTTGGATTGATGAGTTAACTTGTTGCAGTGGTAGATTGATTATTTAAATAATTTTGATTGATGAGTTAAC